TTATTAAAATATAAGGTAATTTTTTTATATATATTTAGAATGATTTTTTGATTTTTTATGAAAAGATGTGCACAAAATAAAGATAAAAGAAAATCTTTAACTTTTTAATATAAATTATAAACTTTTTAATTTTTTTAATAATTTTTGATTTTAGACTAAAATTATTACTTTCCAACTTTAGACTAAAACGGTTACTGTCCGACCTCAGTCCTAAGATGGTTTTGGTGACAAAGAGGACAAATGAGAAACTTTATAATTTCATCTTTTGAGCCACTTTCTTTCTTTTGTTTTTCAACTTTAATTGTTAATTGACATGGTCAAGTTTGGCTACAAAGAAAAAAGTGCACTTATTTCATCTTTTTATCTTTTTTGGGTTACATTAATCAACATCTCCTCTCTACTTTTTCTACACATAATACAAAAAAAGTCAAAAAGTGCACTTATTTAGTCTTCCTAAACTAAGCCTAATTAGATAAATAATTGTAAACAATAGATATCATTTTTTATTCCACACTCTCCCAAGGAAGTTATTTTGTTAGAATATTATTTTTCATACATCACTTAAATAATAACTGTTTGGAGTTATTATATTTTAAATTTTACAATAGACAAATATCATTAGTTATAAATTTTTGTTTAATTTAGTTATAAATTTTTCTCGTACATTATTTTTAAATTTTGAATAAAAGCAAATATAAAATAATTGATTGAAGATATGTTGCATTTGTTATATTTATTTTTTTTGTGTAAAAAAAGAAAAGAAGACTTTTAAAAATCGCAATTCATATATATACAAATAATTATAAACATAATTCGTGTATGGCACCGGTGGAACATTAGTTAACAATTGATAGAAAAAATCACGTGTCACACGAAATGCATGTGTCTAACTGCTAATAAGATAAAAAGATTTAAAAAAAAAATGCTATCTAGCACATTTTTTTTTTGATCTTCCATTCTAGCACATTTCAAACAGGGCCTACGAATATGATGAAGTGGAGCCAGCCAAGCCGTTTTGAGAGGGCCAGCCAGCCAGCCACAGGAAAGGTTAGTTGTTCGCACGCTACCTAGACACGCCACACGTTCGATACATCGTGTCGACACGATCCTATAGCGAATACTATTTCTTTATTGGAAAAAGATTAATGTATTGGGATTGGCTAACTTTTTACTTTTGATTTTTTTTTTCCTACCATTCACTGACATGTATCTGTAAGGGGTTTTAAGAATCAAGGAAAAATTGGGTCTCTATCATTTCTGTTCTTTACTTTCCAACAAACCTATCAATTAAATGGCTTTTCAATTCATTACTCAACAACACACACATACACACACTCTCTCTCTACATATTACATATATACCTACTTTTATACGTATAAAACAAAACAAAACAAAATAGAGAGAGAGAGAGAGAGAGAGTTTTGAAGACGAAAATGATGTGAAAGAGTAGTGTGAGAGAGCTTAGACATCTGATTCACCAGTTGTTGCCTTTCTTCATCCACTGGATCGCATATGAGATGACTGTTTCTGTGCTCGTCAATGTCACCACCAGAACCCTCTGTCCCGGCGAGTCCACTTGTTCCGAAGCTATTTACATCAACAGCGTTCAGCAGACGGTACTCTCTCTCTCTCTCTCTCTTCTTTTGGTTCCTCGGAAAATTTTTAGTACATAAGCAATGGAAAAGCAACGCAAGGTAATCATCATATTTAAAATGATTGAATTGATTGACCTTTTTATTTTGTTATTCTTATTATATTTTTTTGTAAGTAACAATTTTTTTTTTCTTTTCATGATATTTCTGTGCAACCAAACAGAGCTTCGATTTTTTCCTTTCATACTTCTAGAGTTGATATTGATCCTTGTGTTATTCCTCTCTCTATAGAAATTGTTCTGTATATATATATATATATATTTGATTGAAATTGGTTGTCCGTATCTTCTTAGTGCGCTCCTCCGCCTACATGCTTAGGTATATGGAATTTCATGAGGCAGTTATTTGGCTACTGAGAAAATTCCAAGAGGTTTGAAACTAAGGTCTGGTTTAAGAATAGATTATTTTAGTAATTTTTTAATTTTTTTATTAAAATATAAGGTAATTTTTTTATATATATTTAGAATGATTTTTTGATTTTTTATGAAAAGATGTGCACAAAATAAAGATAAAAGAAAATCTTTAACTTTTTAATATAAATTATAAACTTTTTAATTTTTTTAATAATTTTTTAATTTTAAACTAAAACTATTACTTCCCAACCTCAGGCCTAAGATGGGATTGGTGGCAAAGAGGACTAATGGGAAACTTTCTAATTTCATCTTTTGAGCCACTTTCTTTCTTTTGTTTTTCAACTTTAATTGTTAACTGACATGGACTTAATTAGATAAATAATTGTAAACAATAGATATCATTTTTTATTCCAAACTCTCCCAAGGAAGTTATTTTGTTAGAATATTATTTTTCATACATCACTAATAATTACTGTTTGGAGTTATTATATTCTACAATAGTTGATTCCCATCTTAAAAAAATAAAAATAAAATATTATTTTTGTTAGAATAATATTTTTAACTGTTTGGAGTTATTATATTTTACAATAGTTGATTCCCACCTTAAAAAAAATAAAAAATGAAAAATAAAAAGACCCGAAAATATACTAGTTGAGGAGTAAAGTGTGATATGCCCATAAATTTGACAGAAGCTTATTCCTTACTATAAGGGGCCTTAGGTGACAACCTCAACATGCAAATGGTTGGGCGCCCTCCTAGTAGTTTAGAGCATTGCCAAATTTGTTGTAACTGAGATGAATAAGCAAAAGAGGGTTGTTATATATTACTCCATAAATTTCATCGGTCTTTCACCTATTCACGCAACAAACACTATGTATAATGTAGGATGTATTATAATAAAAAAATATTAGATTGATCTTACATGTAAAGATAGTGGTGGTTGTGCGAATCCATATAGCAGGTGAAAAACATAGACAAATTCATGTAGATCTAGTGACAAGTACCATTTTTCACAAGAAAAAATAAAATATGAAGCTGTTTAGGCAGCCCATTGGAAGGGTGCAGGGACCCTGCTCACCCAAGTTGGACAATTGTTGATTGAATTTCAAAATGTTGATGTATGCAACTAACATTGATAGTGATGATCATAAATGAGCATGACTTTCTTTTTTGTATGTTGCAACTGAATTTTATCATGGATTTTGAATTTCTTTCTACGTAAAGTTTGTAGGAATTTTCAAGATGGTGGTCCTTCCAATCCTAGGCCAACTTGCTGATGAGTATGGGTGAAAACCACTGCTCATTCTCACTTTATCTACAACTATAGTCCCTTTTGGTGTGTTTTCTATGAACATTTGTACATTGACCAAAACTTTATGTTGAAGAATTCCAACTCTATTTGATGTTGGTATCTGCATTTAACTGTGAAAATTTCCTTTGGTCCAAACTAGAGTGGTGATACTTGAAAGCTAAGAATCACAGATATTTCTATAGAAGAGGTTTGTCGTGTTGTACATGTATATCGGACATGACACTTGTGTATATTAATGTTCTACAATTATTTTCCATTTTTTATAATGCAATTGTTTCATGTTGTTACATGAATGATGATTTTTAAGTTATGGAATATATGGCATTTTAATTTTAACTAATGTTATGCTGCTTTTATTTTACTTTTGAACAAATTATTAACGCGTCATAGGCGTATCATGTCCGGCTTTTTTTTTTTTTTTTTTGAAATCGTCGTGTTGGCATGTTGCTTGTCCTTGTTTGTGCTACTTATGTTGAAAGTTAAATGTCGGTTATTTCTTTGTTAAGCTTAATTCTTTATTTTCATTTTCAACTGTTCCAACATACAAGCGCCATCTTAGACAGCCCTTAGCTCTAAAGAGACTCTAATTTAACTCAAAATTGAATCAAGAAAAATTTTCTTGAAAGTAAGACATGTTGCAGAGCTTCTGCCATCTCTTTATCATCATCATTCAACCGAAGGACTGTGTATGATAAGACATTTGTGGTTTCTAATTGATGCCAATTTTCAAGCTTCATGAGTGACACAAGATAATTGGTAGATGCAGCGCGGCTCAGATGTCAGGACACTATGCACAAAACATATGGTTTTCCTTCTAATGAACATTTTATGTGCCATAATGTGTTAATCAACTCACTTTAATTCAAGCGCCTGAAATTAATTACTTGGTTTCAAAGAGTTTGTGTTTTCAAATTGGTCGATGATTATTTCCAGCAGGCACATGTGAGTATATTATGATGTGCGAATTACCACATTCATTCATAATGCTCACTTTGCTCACTTTCCTGTGTTGCTGTTTCAGCTTTGCTTGCTATCAATGAGTCAAAGGCCTCTGTTTATGCTTATTATGTTCTTCGTACAATTTCATACATTATAAGTCAAGGGAGTATTTTCTGCATTTCTGTTGCTTATGTGGTAAGAGTTCTTCCTCAATGCTAATTAACAAAAAAATTACAATTGGGGTTATTTGAAATCACATTTTCCCTCTCTGGCAGGCAGATGTTGTAGAAGAAGATAAGAGGGCAGCATTATTCAGTTGGATTCACTACAAGAATTTACATATTTGGCGACCACTTTTGCCGACCAAAAAATTTTTGGTCGCAAAAAAATGACATTTGCCGACCAAAATATTAATTAGTCGCGAATGATCAATATTTTTGGCGACCAAAATGAGTTAGTCGCAGAAGGTCACATTTTGGCGACCAAAAATGAGTTAGTCGCAGAAATTGGTATGCTTTTGGCGACTAACTTCAAATTTGGTCGCGGAAGGTTACATTTTGGCGACCAAAAAAATTTAGTCGCCAAATTTGTACTTTTAGCGACTAATATTTTAGTCGCCATTGATTGAGATTTAGCGACTAAAAAAATTTGTTGCCGAAGGTAGCTTTTTTGCGACTAATATGGTGTTTTGGTCGCCAAAAGTGTTTGGGAGGGAAATTTCAAACAGGGAGGGGGGAAATGAAATTTTTTGGCGATAAAAAAAATTTAGTCGCCAAAGTAAAAACGACGTCGTTTTGTACCTGGAAAACCAAAAATAAAAATAAAAATAAAAGAAGGCCCTGATCTCCTCTGCCTCCTACTCTCCCTCTCTCTGTGTTCTCTCTCTCAATCGACTTGCAATTGCTCAAGAATTGCAGCCAATTCCAGTCCAGATTCCAACATTTCTTCCTCAATCTTATCTCTCTCTCTCTGTCTCTCTCTCCTCAATTCCCTGTCGCAGACACAACCCCGAACCCCCTATTATTGTCTTCATTTTCTCTCTTCCTCACTCCCTCTCTCCACCATCCCAATCTTCATCAACAGTGGTGGCCAAACTTCCTATTTCAGCCATAGGGGAGATTTCGAAAAGAGCCACTACAAAAAGGAAGATTTCACTGGACCACCACCGTCTCCAGGGAGATCGGTACTCGGTCGTCGTCAATATTCAAGGAGATCCGAAACAGGTATTTTAATTAGTTAAGTTCTTCGTTTCCCAACCCCCCCTGAATCATATCAATCTCTCTCTCGGCAGATCTTGGTTGCTCACAACCAATTCTTAGCGATTAAGCTTTCCGATCGGTGGTCGAAGCAGCAGCGAACTTCTAACCCCTACATTGTCGAGATTGCTGACTGTGATGATGTTGAAGTTTACATTGAGGCTCTAAGTTTGATGTATTGTAAGGATTTAAGGAAGAAGCTCATGAAGGAAGATGTCACTAGAGTACTTGGAATCTTGAAGGTACAAATAATCATTTGCACATTGTAGAGGAAACTATGAACTTTTGTTGAATTTGTAGATTTATATGTTTGTACCTATTTGTATGTGTATATGAAATGATGTGTATACGTTTGTACCAATTTGCCTACATATATGTCTGTTTTTCTTGCCTTCAAACTATTTGATAAAATGTCTCTTAGGAACTACTTAGTGTAAAACACCCTTTTGGACCCATCCCCTGTTTGGGGTGGAGGACAAGGTCAAAGTTAAATAATTCTAATAATACATTTGCTCATTGTGTCATGTCCCTGCTTTGACTCTTGATCTGTTTTGTTTGGTTTACATGATGCTAAAAATTGAATTTGACGTTTTCTCAGCATGCATTCTGGGCTACATACATGCTGCATTGCTTCATGTGTATCATGTCCCTGCCTTGTCTTCTGAACCTTGTTATTTGGTGTACAGGATGTGGATGCCAAATGTTTGAATTAAAGTCCTGTTACTATGCCTTATGGATCATGTGCGTGCTGCACTGCCTCACCACTACATTATTGTAAATGTATATGAAATTACTTTAGAAAGCTGTCATGTTTTCTTCATCAGGGGGACCTTGGGGAAAAGAAGAAAAAAAAATCAATGAGATTATTGCCCTTACATCTTCATGTGACATACTGGATGGAGTAGAAATTTTTGTTATGTGTATGATCACTCAAAATTGGAAACATATGCAGCTTTGAGCTTGAATTGTTAGTATTGCAAGTTTGCAACAAAGAAAACCATGTGAATGGACCCATTTTATAATATTTATTTATAGTTGTTTTGAGTGATAGATATTATAGTTATGAGATGCAGTGCCACAAGTTGCAGCAAGTGTTTCATACTTCCATGATTAGATATTTTAGTATGGTTTGTTATGTTAACAAAGGCTCCATATTGTGGCCATTACTTTTCTTTGTATGTGCATGGATTTAATTCTCTCTTTGTGCCACTTCCTCTTAAATTTTCCCCCTTTCTTTTACTTTCAAAGTTTTGTACTTTTCGAACCATTAAAGCAGCGTTGCTTGGTTCAATGGTGAAATCCCTGGCCTGGCAATCATGGGAATACAAGTTTGTGTGAGAGTAGCCATTGCATGCAAATAATGCCAAAGGTTATGTTTGTATCTGGTTCACCCCTCCTAACGTCATTGATTAACTGGCCAAAACTAGATTGTCTTTTTTTATTTTTTAAACCACCCATTTTTTATTATTACTTGAAACATCTTCCTGTTCAAATTTATACACCTCACATTGAACAGTCAGCTAGCAATACTTAGTTATCTGCAATCTCATCCCAGGATTCTTAATTTGCTGGGAGGGTGATGGATGCTCTCTTAATCCATTGATTGATGGATAAACCCTCCTTAACGTGCTACTTTGATGTATCAACTCACAGATTTGACTGTAGATTTTTCTGTATTACATTGATTCATCTTTTTTTCTTAAATGTGTAACACACAGATTTTACTTTCATGTCCATACAAACTAATTTTGCTATGTCTTTTAGGCATTTGCTTTTAGTTCGACTGTGAAAGCGAAGCGATTGCAATCGCGTGCTTCGGAGAAAGAGCAGTGGAGGCTTTATGTACCGACGATTGACCGGTCTATCGGAGAACCGGCACCGTATGTTGTGGTGGTGCAGGGTCCTCCCCAGGTAATTATCTATTTTTTAGTAGCTAGTAATGAAGTTATGATAATGGGATTCAATTTTTTTTTTTTGTTTTTAAAGGTTGGAAAGTCTCTTCTGATAAAGTGTCTTGTGAAGCATTACACCAAGCATAATCTACCAGATGATTGAGGACCCATTACTATTGTGTCAGGTTTAATATGCTCTCCCTAACCAGTTTGGGTTTTTTAAGTACAAACTTCACTGATAAGAGCATCTCCAATCCTTATACTTACTTTTTTTTAATCAAATTTGAGTGAATTTGGTTGAAAGCTTGATCTGGTCTGGAACACTCTAATCCTTACTCTTTGTTTCTTATGCAAAAAACCTGTTTTTATCGATTTTTTATGAAGAAAAAAAATCATATTTTTTCAAGAAAATCTCATCAAATTGTTGGAAATTAGTGAAGGATTTGGTTCATTCTTGATTTGGTTAAAATTTTGGCTCTCCCATGATTTGATACAAGTTTGATGAAATGATTGGGGCTCACTTTTAACTCTTTATTCATCAAATGTGAATTTGAGGAAAGAATTAGTGAAGGATTGGAAATGTTCACAGGGTTTCTTGTATTCACCGGTTGAGGTAGAAGTGGTTGGTCAATTTTTTTTCTATTATTTTTGTTTTTTAAGGGAAGCAAAGGCACAATTTGTGGAGTGCCCAAATGATATTAATGGTATGATTGATGCTGCAAAGTTTGCTGATCTAGCTCTGCTTCTCATTGATGGAAGTTACGGTTTTGAAATGGTGAGGAACTTTACCACTAAGAAATTTTTTAACCCACTTCTGTATTATTATAAGCAAGTATCAAGTCATATATGATTCTGTTATTTTGGAAATTATTTTATTTTATTTTGTTTTGTTTTTGTGCCTAGGCTTAGAGAGTAGCAAGTGTATTTTTAGCATTCAATGGAAATGCTTTTGTTCGATTGGTAAAATGATGCACTAACCTGCATATTTATAATTTTCTTTCTGGCAATAATAATCAAATTTGATTGGTTGTTAACTACAAAGTTTACGGATTTTTGAAGCTCGTCAAAATCATTGGATGGGTGTTGTGCAATGCCTGTGATCCGTAATTTATCTTATTTTGTTTTTAATTTTTTTCCCTCCCCAACTTATCCATTCTTATTTTAACTGTTTCACTCGCAATTTATTCTGAATTTATGGACATTTTTGTTGGTCTGGCTCATCTGATCTAAGTATTATTATTATTATTATTATTATATAGTAAATCTGGTGTAATGGGGTATTTTGTTCTTGCAGGAAACTTTTGAGTTCCTTAATATTTTGCAAAATCATGGATTCCCTAAAATAATGGGAGTTCTTACACATATTGATAAGTTCAAGGATGTAAAGAAACTTAAAAAAACAAAACAGCGCCTCAAGCATCGATTATGGACCATGGGAAGTAAGTATTTGACTGCCTCTTGTTCTGAAATCTGCAAGTTCACTTCTATCTTGTAATTAAATAATCAATACCTTAACAGAATACTCATTAGATTTATGATCCATTTTCTGATTGAGCAGGTATGCTAAATGTGAGGTTCACAATCTTGCAAGGTTCATTTCTGTTATGAAATTTCATCCTTTGTCTTGGCGAACTACCCATCCCTATGTATTGGTAGATCGTTTTGAAGATGTCACACCTCCAGAAAGAGTGCATATGGATAATAAATGCAATAGAAATGTCACTTTATATGGTTATTTACGTGGATGTAATTTGAAGAAAGGAACTAAGGCACGTATATCTAACCTTTTCATTATATTATCACTTTTGTTTATATGAATTTCTAATGATGGAAAAGTTCTTTGGAACAATATTGTTGGTCACTCCTTGAAATGGAAATCTGCTGGACTTGGTTTATGTAGTGCAACATAAGGAAATAGAAAAATGTGTATTCTAGATAACTATCAAATTGGTTTACTTAAAATGATTTTTGTATGTCCAGTTTTCCTGTTGCATTTTTTACAAAGTCTAGCTAACTTTTTCCTTTGTTGAAGTCATCGACAGGATTATAGTGATATTTTGATGTCCAAAATTTTTTATCCAAATAAGAGAATGGTAAAATTGATGTCCAAAATCAGCTAATCACCTCATTTTTTGTTTCTTTCTTTAAATATATTTATTAAATGAATTACCAAGTTGATCACCTCAGTTTTGCACCATATAAATTTTGTTGATGAGGTGTGCCAGTTGCTGTGTGTCCTCCTTGTTTTACAATTTTGTTACATGCATGTACAAATTTTACAGTCCTTGTAATGGACTGAATTAGCATTACATTAGAGGGGAAACAAAAAGGAAGAAGAATATTGACTCAGCAGCCTCTGCATTATGGTTCCTTGCTGCTGAGGGTCACACCTCATTTCATGTTCATTTATAAGACCTTTTATCTATTGTTCACCATTAAAAAATTATGATTGACTTTATGATGCCTCTTGTATACAGTGATGCCTCTTGTATTTTTCTGTACTTATTACGCACATTATCCTATAGTGATTAACTTTATGATATCTTGAATTGAATTGGCATTAGGGTTCTTCACAATCTGCCACCCTCGGTGAAGCTACCATCAACCTGCTGATTATGCTGATGCACTGAAGCCTTCTGCCATTGCACTGCCTCTACATGGATGTAAGTCTGGAACTATTTTACATGTAAGATACTTCTATCAGTTCTTTAAGCTTTGGACCAAGGGGAAAAAAAAACAAGGGTCGAAAAAAAAACCTTTGGACCAAAATGTAGTAGTACAAAGGATATAAAACTACAACTAAATTATGAAAATAGATAGCTCCAAATTTTAACTTAGTTTCCATTGTTGAAGCACAGGTCAATATTGGCAAATTGTGGACCAATAGTTAGAATTGTAATGTTTATTGGATATATACGTATGAATGTTGTTGTTTTATTTACAAAATGGTAATGATAGTCAATTAATTTGTTCATGTTACCTTTACTTTCCGTGGACATGTTTCATTTTTTGTCCAATTTTACATTAATGTGATGTGCAAATATTTTCATAAAAAAATTTCCCATCATAATTTCTCTTTTTCTTTGGTACAGATAGACGAACCGTTTGAATTCTGCTTCAATTTTCCCCTTCAGTATGGTTAGACACTCTCGTATGTCAATATGTATAGTTTATATTTGCTAGTTGAGAAGTCCATTG